AGCAAGAGAAATACATGTTGATATCGGTTGGCAATTATAGTGGAAATGCCGGCGATTCCATGAAAGGGCACGTTAACAATCATTTTTCAACCTACGATAGTGATAAAAGTATTGGCACCCATTCGAGTTGTGCTTCAAGATTACAAGGTGCCTGGTGGTATTGGACCTGCGCGTTTAGGTAAATTTAATTATTCAATTCTGATATTACCGTTTGTAATATTTGCAATTAATTTCTTTAGCAACCTGAACGGTAAAAGGTTCGACTGTAACATTGAAGACTCAAATGAGCTAGAATTCACTGGATGCATTTACTGGCAGCATTGGGATGGTCGGAGTTACTCCCTCAAATATGTTCAAATGATGATACGACCATATCAATAATATAAGTCCCTTTATTAGCAAGTTTCTTCGATGAAAATTGCAAGTATATATTTTTTAAATATTCCAATTACAATTTAATAATACATATATATATATGTAATTGCAATTGCCATAAGATTAAAGGCCAGAGCCAGAAGCTGCAAATCCAATTTGAGGAATCTAGCGTAAAGTTAACAATTATGCGCGGGCTTTAGGAGGATCTACATTGAAAATGTTTGGTCTCATATACGGACAGAGGGGCGGCTATTGATGCTGCTCAAGAATATATATATATATATATACATATGTATACTTTATGGGATCGTAGATGCTGCTTTGCAGATGCTGCCTGTTACATACATTTGCACAAATACATTATACCCATTCTTAATGGTATAAATAAATAATCCTTTAAATAGTCCCTTATATAGCATCCTATACATATTGTATCTTATATAAAAGGACAAGTCCATAAATTCAAAACAATTTAAATTATGTGATAAAAATGAATGGCCAAAAATGATTCACAAATAAAAGAAAAATTTCTTATTTTATGGAAAATTTAATCTCATTAGATGTATTTTTCTGTTACTAAACAAAATATGATTTAACTTTAATCTTATTTTATTTACTAATATCATAAAATAAGTAATAAATTTAAAAAATATATATAAATAAAATGTACAACTTTTTGAGGAACTCCAAATTTTGCTTTCAAACCAAAAACTCTTCACTGCAAATATGTGGCAAGCAAATGTGGCAAGCAGCATATTAGAATAATGTACGCCTTTATAGGGTTACGTCTAATACATCTAACAGTATGCTGATGGAGGGCAATCGCAATCCCAGCATGACGGCAACTGCCTTGACTGACTGACTGGCTAACTGACTGACAGACTGACAGACTGACGGACTGAGGGACTGAGTTGACTGAGTGAATGCCTGCAACGTGAATAAGTGGGATAATGGGTCAGGCTAAGCCACAAGCAACCCAATAGTACCAACTGTGACTGTCTCCGTGTCTCCGGAAACCCACACGCAGCGCACACACACACGCACACACACGAACACATACCCGAACACACACACACACACACACGCGCGACAGTTGTATGATAAATTGTGTAAGATATTGCTGTAGATTTTTACATACCAAGTACTGCATATGCGACTATATGTTATAGTGTATGTGTGTGGGTGTGTGTGCGTGTGTGTGGGGCCTTATTATGGGGGCCGGGGCATTTAGCATTCATGAGAGATAATAAAAAGCAGCCCAAAAGCCACTGGACAACAACAAATGATTTGGGCCAACTGCTGTGTCATGCGCGTCTTTGTGTGTGGGTGGGTTTTTGTGTTTTTTAAAGCGCGCGCCACATTGCGTATCCGCAATATTGTTAAGCGAGCAAAAGTCAGTCAGTGCGTCGCGCCTCAAGCTGTTGATAATTTAGGGTTCAACCAAACGCACACACACATGTGTGTGTGTATATTATGAAATTTCACTTTGATCCATTTGCCGGCGAGCAGTTTGTGTCTGTCCGGTTTTGGATTTTTATTTTATTTAGCTTTTATTAAAAAACAAAATGTTTTATATGCACTCGGCCATTGGGAGCTTTGACCTTTCATTTGAGGCCCCGGCAAAAAGGGTTTGCCATCATTTCCTTGGCGTGAAAAGCGGAAAAATGTTGATTGCTATCATGCTGCGGCCAAATTATCCCCCTGATGAAAGTCCCATGCAGATAATAAAATTCAGTTCGAAATGTGCTAGGTAAGCGCAGAAAATGGATAGGAAAAAGGTTGAGATTATTTTAAACACAATTAAGCATTTAATGAGGCATTTGCATTTGCAAATTAAATATGCTTTGAGGTCTTGTTTATATCAGCATATACTTTCTGATAAGCTAAGCAGCTAATCTATATTTAAGCAAGTAATATACGGATTTACTTTAAAGCAGCTATAAAAAATGAACAAAATAAATTTCAAATCGAATTTGTTTCAAAAAGAAAAATCGTATTTCATGGCAAAGCTATAATAAACTTTTCATTCGCCCCAAACAAGCCCGGGTAATACTTTCTAGTAAACTTTTTATCAAAGCGCATTTTGATTTGTTCTTTATTAAATAGAACAACATTCTTTCTCGCCGACGCTTTAAGACTGAGCCATTTAGCAAGCCATTTGGCTGGCAACTCTAATGTTAAATCAATTATGAAACATCATTATCAGAGACCGCATTGTCTTGGTGTGGTTCATAAACGCATTACCGAGGCGCTAATGAAGAGTTATGCAGATGGTTGCCAGCCAAGAACAAGAAGAAGAAGAAGAAGCGCCAGGCTAGACTTCAATAATAAAAAGCGGCGCCTATAAAAATGTTGGCCCATTAGCATAAACGAAGCGAAGCGAACTTCAAACAAGCCGCCGGTCCTTTTGCAGTCCATTAAAAGTGCACAGGAATTTTTCAAATAATATATATATATATATATATATATTTATATATATATGCTTTATATATATGCTTTATATATATATATATATATATATATATATCTGAGTCGGTGGTCAAGGTAAAGGCGTTGAAAGGACGCGTCGAGGGACTTGGCAGAACTGCAGCAACTTCTGCAGTGAGTTGGCTGAATTATTAATTAACCTCAAACAATTAAAAGTGAAATGTTTAAAAACAAAAACCAAAGAAACAGAAGAAAGGTAAGTTTATATAATTACAAGCAGAGTTTTTGAACTGGAAATGGCATAGAGTCTGCATATCAAATATTTAAAAGGGCTCAAGAGGAATTAATTTGCCGGGCCAAGGATAAGGCCCAGCCGGCGAGTATGAGGCCGATAAACAATGTAGATTGTAATTAACCCGACCCAACTGGACTGAGAACTATCGAGTTCGAGTCCAGGCGCGATTCCCCGAGTCCGCGCTTAATTGCATGCGTACAGGTCACGGACACGGACACGGACACGGGGCAGGGACTAGCCTGTGAATGAATGAATGACATTCATTTTGCCTTTAGGTTTTTTTTCTTTTTTTTTTTCTTGTGGCACTTCCGTTTGCCACAGCGGAAGAAGTTGCAAGATAAAAGCAACCTGCAGCATTGGGCAGGCAGTCAGCGAAGGGAAAAGCGGGGCATGTGTTTACTGCAAAATGTGCTGCAGCATAAAGTTGCAGGACACGAACGCAGCCGAAGGACTCCGCAAAGTGCGCTACTCGAATTTCATAAAGCATTCTCAATGAAAATAATTAAAATGCGTCGAGCGTTCAAAATCAAGCAGCATGGAAATTTAATTGTATTGACGGGCGAAGGTTTGAGCCCATGCCCATGCCCACGTACACGCCCACTCGCACGCCCACGTACACGCCCCAGCCAAGTACATGAAAACAAATGGATTCCCAGTTGCATTGGGGCGATAAATGAGTTTTCTCATAGGTGACAATGCTGAATGCAAACAAAATGCCTTAAATCGAAAGCAAACGTTGAAAAATTGCGACAACGCAAAAAATTCAGAAAACAATTTACACCCGATTTCAGGTCAAACAAACTTAAAGATTGTCATGAGAACAAAAGATATGGCAGTTATAAGCGGAGCAAGCAGCTTAAAAGAGCACTGCAATTATCGTTTATCTGAAAGGAATTCAGCTCAATACTTGCTTATTTGCTAGCTTGAGAATCGCATAGAAGAGCTGCATATCGATTAATGCATAACTTTTGTTTTGACTGTCATATATTACCTTATTATGTTATTTTTATATATAATCGATAGCAATAAACCTAATTCCTTTAAATGTTTTCTCTTTTGGAGCCTGAAGATCCATAAGATATCGACATATCACGTTGGTTCCCAACCGGTTCGCTACACAAACTCAAGTTAACATATGAACTAGTTTTTAAGATTTCCTAGGTTAATAACAATAGTTACTATTCCCATATCACTTGCCTGATGGCTTAAGTCGAGCTTTAAGCTCTTTTGAAACCACTTCAAATCGATTTTAACTCTAATTTAATGTCCGTTCAGAATTGGACCCAGAACCCGCTTTAAAATGCGACCTTAAATCGTCTTAAAACCTATTACATTTTTTGTATAGGAATTTTTTAAGGACCGCTCATCCCTTTTTTTTCACATGCACAATTCCCATAGTCATTGGACCAGCACATAACCCAAGGCCACAGAGATTCCAGTACAGTGGGCACACTCACAAACACACATACACAATGAGAACCCGCAGCTGTCATTGATAATACAAAATAAAAAAAATATATAAAACAACAAAAAAAAAATTATGTTTGTCACGCCGAAGCATGAATACCCTAGCTACGCCATCAAAGCTGGGAGCGTCAATGAAAATATAGTATATGCCCTTATCTATGCCTTACAAATTTCATGACACAATTATAATACCCGGTGCAAACCTGTTAAGCGCAAATACATATCTAACTGTATTCTATTCCCGTTCATAACACTCTCTTGCTCTCTTTTACTCTCTCTCTCTCTGTCTCTCTCTCTCTCTCTCTCTCTGTTGACTCCAGATTTAACTTAGAGACCCTGCAATCGTGCTAAGCGCAAATAAATATCTAACTGTAAACTTTTCATTGAAGTAAATACCAAAAATATTTGAGTACGATTTACCGTTCACAACACTCACTTGCTCTCTTTCACTCTCTCTCCGATTTCGTTTCAGCACAGATGCACTCAAATTTTATGCTAGTGAAAAAGCTCTGCACCAACAATTACATCACAAATTTGAAGATATTCACATACATACATATATTTAATAATGCACTTAAAAAAACACACACACACAGCATATACGAATCGCGATTTATTTAATTTAACTTTCTTAACAAACGAATTTGTACACACGCGTAAATTGGACGACCGAAAAAGATCTGCACCAATAATTAAAACACAAATTCACATATTTATATACATATTATAGGGCACTTTAAAAAAAAACTAAAAAAAAACACACAGCATATAGGAATCGCCTTGTTGGCAATCGAATTAATGCACACGCGCAGATTAGACGCCCGATCGACTGACGCGCACTGACTAAATCGCCGCAATACGCTCAGGCTTACGCTAAGCCGGCATTCGCACAAATACAACAAAAACGAAAAACGCGCAACTGTGCAGGCAACGGGATCAAAAGCATTGCGAGCAAAAACTGACGCGCAATAAGCAAATGCGTTGCCTGTCGCCCCGCTCATTCCCACGACATTGCACGCCGTCTGCTGCAGCTGCTACCTGCACTAGACAATTGTAACGGGATCGAAAGCATAAAGTACGATTGCCCGTTTATAACACTCATTTGCTGTCTACTAAAAAAGCTCTTCACCAACAATTTAACACATATTTGGGCACTCGCTTGATTAGTGTAGATATTTACACACTAATATATTAATATATACTATATAGGGCACTTAAAAAAAACACACAGCATATACGAATCACGAAATTAACCTTGTTAGCAAACGTTTCTAGGCACACGCGCAGATTACACGACCGATCAACAGGACACACACGCACTGACTGAATCGCCTCATCCAGGGCTCAGGCTTACGCTAAGCCGGCGTTCGCACTAATACAATGACACAGAAGAGCATGCTCCCCACTCCGACGCTCGCAGCATTCACAAGGCAACGGGATCAAAAGCATTGCCAGCAATGATGTTCGCGCATTGAGCAAATGACTTGCCTCTCTCCCCGCTCATACCCATAACATGGCAGGCTATCAGCTGCAGCCAGCAGCCTGTAGTAGAACAATTGTAACGGGATCGAAAGCATTAACTGAGAACGCATAAAGAAACTATTGCTTATGACTTCCAGAAACTCTCTCTCTCTCTCTGGCAGAGATGCGTGCCAAATGCAAAATTGCCAATTTAGCTATTTTCTAGCTAAATTCAACCATTTTCAGAGATATTAAGAGAATATTCTTATAAAACTTAAACGTTACAAATTTCGCTAACAGTTGTGATGCCCTTGGTTAGGGTATTAAAAAAAACAACATGAACAATCATAATAATAGCCATGCACCTTTAACAGGAGACTACAAAAGCAACAGCCGCAGCAGCTGCAACAACAACAACAACAAAAACAATCAAACATTTATTTTTTATCAATCACAAAATAAACATTCAACTCGACTTTATGTGGCAGTCGTGGGCGTGGCAGCTGCTGTGGGCGCACAATGCTGGCATATTTTACACTTCTGCTTTCAATGCAAACAATTTTTTTATTACAATATTATTGCTGTAGGCATTATATGTGCACCCCACCCCCCCCCCTCGCTCAATGCTGTGTGAAAGTAAAAGAAGAAGAAGAAAAATGTATGTATTTGTATTTGTATTTGTTTATGTTGGGGCATGTTATATATATATATATATATTTTAATCTGCGCAGCCTTCAACATAATTGAAATGAAAGCAACGCCTCCGCCCACTCGACCCCGCCCTCTTTTGTTGAGTATAAATATAAAAATGCTATTTTTATGATTTGTTTGACAAGCGCATACCCCCTCCCTCTCCACCACCTCACCCCCTAAGACATAACACCTAACAAGATTCGCGGCAACCCGAGTCCAAACATATTTTCCACATCTTTTGCCATTTTTCATGACGTAAAATGGCGTTGACAAAATGCACAAAGGAAAAACGAAAAAGGAAAATACAAAAAAATACACACATAAAAATATATATGTATAAGTAAATATATTGGCGGCAACATAAGCACAATAAATGAGCCCAAAAATCAATTGACAATTTATTGTTGGAAGCATAAAAAATGAGGAACGCTGCAACATGGACTAAAATCTATATTAAATTACGAGGCAGCCAACAAAATGTTCAAATAATGATAATAATAAAAAAAAACAGTCAGAAAATGAGTAAATATTCGGCAAGCCGACTAGCTAATACCCTTGCACACAATTCGCAGAAAGAGCAAAGTTCGAAAATTGAAATTACTTTTCGGTCGATAATTCCATATGGCAGCTATATGATATACTGGTCCGATCTAAGCAACTATATCAGCTGATGCTAATCTAGAATATATATAATACATATCATGTCAGAATCCTAATAATACCCTCTACAAGGGTATAGGTGCGTTGGAAAACGTAGAGCCCAAAGTAGTCGACTTGGCAATGCCCTGTTTTTAACGTAGCCTGCAAGCATATGGAGAAGTCGCTGGTTCAATTTCAAGTTTTAATACCAAATCCAGCAATTATTCGATATATTATAATAATATGCATCTGTCTATATATGCATCCATCTATCTCATTCATACTCTATACTAAAACACTCTAAAGTATGCCCGCGCAGTATTCTAGGGTATCTCAATCAATCAATCAATCAACATACCAAATTTGACACCTCTAGACATTGATCGACTTGACAGTTGATACAGATCAAATACATATATATACATAAATATTTATATATATATACCTTTTCACAGATGTGTGACACACATATATTTTTATATATTTGCCCAACTTTATGATACCCTTTATGACCATTTTTATGGGCCTTAAAATAGGGACAAAAGTGCGCAATCCACAACACAAAAGTCGCCTGTTAACACATATATCATACATGAATTATACACAGATGCATATATATATATATTTATATATATATATAGATGTTTCGACATTGTTCTTTACTTTTTTGTGGCAGTTGTTGTTGTTGTTGTTCTTGTGCTCAATTGCCTTTAAATTGTCCCGAGTGTTAAGTGGCGCACGTTAAAAAAACATTTAACGTTTTTATTTACGCTTCAAATGGGCAAAAACCTGCCACACATGGTGCACGCTGTGGAGAGGGGGGAGGAGGGGCGGGGTAAGGGGGGTTAGCAAGGACAAGGGCAGCGAAAGTGCTTTGTCCTGGCCCTGGCATAGATACAATACGGCTACAAATATAAATATATATATTTATATATGAGCATGTATTGGAAATGTAGGGGAAAGGCCGGAAGAAAACGGAAATTAAAATAAAATATGACACACGGAATTTTATTTGTGGCCTGAAGTGGCAGAAAATACATGGAAAAACTTTTATATAGGCGTTACATCAATCAATCAAGCTAAAGAAAATGTTTATCCAAAAATATTTTATTTGCTTTTATAAAAATTGTTGTTAATAGACAATTTATTCAAGAATTATGATGCCAGATTTAGATGCCAAATTGATCTGGAGGAAAACAAAAAAAACCAAACCTCGTGGAAATCTGAAAAGATTTCACCTAGGAGGAGATTGATCAGTCAGTCAGTCAATCAATCAGTCAGGGCAAATAGTTTTTGAATATAGAAATCAAAGAAAGCTAGAATATTCGTTTCGATAATTATTCAAATAATACTCCCTGGCCCAAATTGTCAAGAGAGCGTAATATTTGAGAGAGAGAGAGAGAGAGAGAGAGAGAGAGGGAGAGAGAGAGAGGGATAGAGAGAGAGAACGAGAGAGAGAGAGAGGGATAGAGAGAGAGAGAACGAGAGAGAGAGAGGGAGAGACAAAGACCATGCAAATGGAATAGATTCAGATATACCACAAAGAGGAATTGTAAATAAAATAAAATCGAATTATAGCTAGAATATTCGTTTCGATAATTATTCAAATAATACTCCCTGGCCCAAATTGTCAAGAGAGCGTAATATTTGAGAGAGAGATAGAGAGAGAGAGATAGAGAGAGAGAGAGAGAGAGGGAGAGAGAGAGAAAAAGAGAGAGAGAGAGAGAGAGAGAGAGAGGGGGGGAGAGAGAGATGGATAGAGAGGAGAGACAGAGCGAAGAAATGAGCTAGAAAGCATCCCGTGAATAGTTTAAGGATATGCCACAAAGAGGAATTGTAAATAATATAGAATCTATTTATAGCTAGGATATTCGTTACGATAATTATTCAAATAATATTCCTTGGCCCAAATTGTGAAGAGAGCGTAATATTTGAGAGAGAGAGAGAGAGATTGAGAGAGAGAGGGGGATAGAAAGAGAGAACGAGAGAGGGAGAGACAAATAGCAAGCAAAAGGACATGGAGCGAAGAAATGAGTTAGAAAGCAGCCCGTGAATAGTTTAAGGATATGCCACAAAGAGGAATTGTAAATAATATAGAATCTATTTATAGCTAGGATATTCGTTTCGATAATTATTCAAATAATACTCCCTGGCCCAAATTGTCATTTATGTATGTAAATTTAAAACTCACCCGTCAAGCCTTTCAATTTAGCTTGCATAACATTTCAATTAAAATCCAAGTGAACACACGCAGGACTAACAGGATGTACCGACTGACGTTCGCGGCGATATCGAAGCATTTGCAGCTGCAGATCAATCGGCTGCTGCAGCGCTCTGTGCGCTTTACGGCTGCCCAGCTGCCACGCCCATTGGCGCCAGGACACGATCTCGTCGCCAGCCAATCAGCTGTGCCGCACGTGGAAGAGGTGCGTCTGGTGCGCCTAATGCTAGACTACAAGCTGCACAAACTGGAAATGGGACCCGATACCTTGGTGGCGCTCACCGAACGCGAGGCGGCGCTCTACTATCGCCAGCTGGTGGCCATCCGGCGCCTGGAGGCGGCCGCCGCTCAACTGTACAGGGAGCAGCTGGTGCGCGGCTTCTGTCATTTGTATACGGGTCAGGAGGCGTGCGCCGTCGGGCTGTGCGCCGCACTGCGTCCGCAGGATAATCTAATTGCCGGCTATCGCATCCATGGCTGGGCCTACCTGATGGGCGTTACGGCCGCTGCCGTGCTGGCCGAGCTGACCGGCCGGGCCAGCGGCTGTGCCCAGGGCAAAGGCGGCTCCATGCACATGTATGCGCCCAATTTCTATGGCGGCAACGGCATTGTGGGCGCCCAGATCTCGCTCGGCACAGGCATTGCGCTGGCCAACAAATATCGCAAAAATGGCGCCGTTTGCTTTGCTCTGTACGGAGATGGTGCCGCCAATCAGGGCCAGATCTTTGAGTGCTACAACATGGCACAGCTGTGGAAGCTGCCGATCGTGTTCGTCTGCGAGAACAACAACTATGGCATGGGCACCAGCGCCTGGCGCGCCTCCAGCAACACGAACTATTATACGCGCGGCGATTATCTGCCCGGCGTCTGGGTGGACGGGCAGGATGTGCTGGCCGTGCGCAGTGCGACACGATTTGCCATCGAGCATGCCCAGCAGCGCGGCCCGCTCGTATTGGAGCTGTGCACCTATCGTTATGCGGGCCATTCGATGTCCGATCCGGGCACCAGCTATCGCACACGCGAGGAGGTGCAACAGGTGCGCCAGCGACAGGATGCGATCGAACGCTTCCGCAAGATCTGCCTGGAGATGTCGCTGCTCACACAGACGCAGCTGCTCGGCATCGAGCGCACTGTGCGCGACGAGATGGAGCTGGCCATAAAGGCGGCCAGAACCGACGTGGAGCTGCCGTTGTCGCATCTCTGCAACGATGTCTACGCGGGCAGCTATGCACAGCTCCAGCTTCGCGGCGTTCTTGGCCACAATTTGGAGCATGCGCGCAGCCGCACCGAAAGCTGCCACGAATGACCAACTAAAGT